GTCCGCGTCCCCTCTCTCCCGCCCCAGCGGCGCCGTGGTCACCCTGGAGTGTGTGGAGAAGCTCGTTCGCAAGGACATGGTGGACCCGGTGAACGGGGAGAAGCTCACGGAGCGCGACATCATCGTGCTGCAGCGGGTGAGCCGCCTGTGCCCTCACCCCTCCCTCCCAACCCCGCCTCCAGATGAGCTGAGGATCCCCGCGGCCGATCTTAGCCCCCACCTCCCGTTTCCTACCCTGCAGGGTGGCACCGGCTTCGCAGGCTCCGGGGTGAAGCTGCAGGCGGAGAAGTCGCGGCCTGTGATGCAGGCCTGAGGGGCTGTGAAAGTCAAATAAATCTGCTGCGGACTGGATGCCTGGCACCTTCATTTGCGGGCTGGGAGCAGACAGCACGGGCCTCCTGTCCTGAATTAGAAAGAGGCACAGATCGTTACGTGTCTCACATTCCGAACAAACTCGAACTGAATGTACACAAGACTGGTCCGCATGAGGTGGGTGTGGTGGCGTGAGCACCTGCAGTCTTTCTGAGAGGCTGAAGCAGGAGGGTTCCAAGTTCCAACCCAGCCTGGGCAGTGTAGCCACTTAGCCAGACCCTGGTCAGAGTGAAAGGGGGTGGGGTTGCTCAATCCCCACAACCACGTGTGCCCCAGAATTCTGTCCAGATGGCCAGAAGTCGGGGTCGGCTGTGCCCCTCATAGATCGAGTGCACCTTAGGGTATCCCGCCCGGGTGGAAGCCTGTGAGGTGCCCAGGGCCACGTCTCACAGAGGAACTTGTGAGAAGACACAGGAAACAGAATTGTGCGAAGGAGCGGCCGCGGTGCAGCAAGGTCAGGACGCCGCCTCGCCATGGCTACGGGGACAGCGGAGACCTGGGCTGTGCAGAGGCCCCGCAGCAGCCAGCCAGGCCTGCAGCTCAGCGGGAGGGGTGGGGCCCGGCTTGCCCGCCGTGAGTGGGGTCTCACTCCTCGGCTGGCTCTGTTTAGCTCCCCTGTACCTGGGTCGGCCTCAAATTGCAATTCCCCTGCCTCAGCCTCGAGGTTCCAAGGGTGCCACTGGTTTAAAGCTCTGTGGCTGTGTTTTGCTTGTGGTACTGGGGATTGGCCACAGGGTGGGGCTCCATCCGCAACCCTTTTTTGTTTTAGTTTTTCATTTGAGACAGGTCTCAGTTGCCCAGATTGGGCTCGAACTTGCAATTCTGCCTCGGTCTCCTGCACCCGGCCTTAAAGCTTGTGTTCCACAGTACTGGGGCTGGAGTCTGGTGCCTTGGTGTTGAGCTACTTCTCTGGCCCCTTTTTTTAAATTTTCATTTTTTTGTTTTGAGAAGGGCTTGCCAAGTTGACCAGGCAGGGCTCAAACTCACTCCTGAGGCTGCTCCTGCCTCAGCCTCCACACGGTGCAGCTTGTTTCTGGGTAACCACGCGAGGTTTCTTCCTTGTGCAGCTCCTGGACAATGTGGAGAGCAGGAGCCCGCGGCTCGGCCAGAAGCAGAGACCCCCGACCCCTCCTGGGGGAGACTCCCGGCCTCCCGCCCCTGCCCCCTGCGCCACTCAGGACCAGGGCGCCATCGAGGCCTGAGTCCTGCGCAGCCTCTTCCTCTGCCCGCCACCCAAGCCGCCCAGGCTGCGTGGCCTGGAGGGTTTGGCGGGAGGGGGGGGGGCACCCCACCCCCGGACCACCGCAGCCTGGGTTTGCCGTACAGGTGCTTCAGGACCTTCCTAGGGCCCTTGAAGTCCTCAGCCGGGGCCCCGGGCCCAGCCCCTAGCACCCGGGCCGCGGGGACCTCTGAGCTGTCCCCTGATGCCGCCGTCCTGAGAGGGGACCCCCGCCCAGCAGCAGAAGGGCCTTTGTGCCCCGAGACTCCTACTCCCCACAAAGCCTTTCAAGCCTTTTGAGGACCCAGCAAGCCCACCTGCGTGTGGTAGCTCGGAGAGCTTCACGTCCCCTGGGCCCAGCCGGCCGTGATTCATGGTGGAGATCCAGCTCCCACCTGCCGGGTGTCCCCCACCCCGGGTTCCCATCTCTAAAGTTCAAGGATGAATTCGGAGGTTAAGAGTAGGAAAAACTGATTGGGAGGAAGATAGCTTCTGTCTGAGAGACGGGAGCGGACCCTTTCTCAAGGGAATTTTATGGCGCAAAGCCACAAGGCGTGGGTTTGAGGAGGACGGAACTACGGCCAACTACGAAGGTTACAGGTACAGTAGCTTCGGTATCACTGGTTCAGTGGGGATCAGAGGGGCAGCAAGGCTCGGAGCAGGTGCTCGGAACGCAAGGACTTTCCCGGAGGGAATGGGCTAGGGCGGGCTGGGTCCTCCCGAGGGGCGGTGCCTCGTGTTTAGAGCACTCACCTATTCGTCCCCGGGGGAAGTGCACAGGTGCTCATTTCTCCTTGCCTCAAAGCCTGGCCTGCAGTCGCAGCTGTAAGGCTCTTATCTTGTTCTTATCTTCTGTATAGACTCCAGGGCCAAGCCTGTCTGACGCCCGGTAACATTTTAACTCCCTGAGCTGTTTATAATACTTCTGGTTTCTGCTCAGACCCCCCAGGAACCTGGTCACGAGGCACAGACCCCGTGCTCTTAAAACAGCTCAGAGCTTTCTCTCTTTTCATCTTTTGTTTTTGAGACAGGTTCTCACTGTGTTGTACGCCAGGCTGGCCTCAAACTGGTGGCAACTGACCTGCCCGCTGCCTCAGGGCTGGGACCCCTGGCGTGTGCACCGCACCCACAGAGCCTCCGGTCCGGTACTGGCATTTCCCAAGAGAGCCAAAATCTCACCCTGAGATGGGTGGTGGCTGCTGTGTGTCAAAGTTGCTGGCTGCTTTCTGTCCTCTGCTGTTTGGTTTCCACAGTAACGTGGAGAGGAAGCAGAGGGGTGAGGCCCAGGTAGGCAGGCTGTAGTGCCCAGGCTCCCCGGTGGAGTTTGGTCTGGTGCCTAGATTAGAAGTGTGAAGGTTGGCAGCCTGGCGTGGTGGTGCACACCTGTAATCCCAGGGGGAGGCTGAGGCAGGAGGATCGCTGGGAGTTCGAGACCAGCCTGGGCTACATAGTGAGTTCCAGGTCAGACTCAACTACACAGTGAGACCCTGTCTCAAAAGATCAAAAACTAAATAAAATTTTTAAAAAGTATAAAGGTTTTAGGGCTGGGGACTTAGCTCAGTGGTTCAGTGGCCTGCCTTGCAAGCGCAAGGACCCAAGTTCAATCCCCAGTACTAAAAAAAAAAAAAAAAAAAAAAAAAAAAAAAAAATTTTAGAAGGGGGGGGGAGGGAGTTTCTCTGGAAGGGCAAAACTATAGGACCAGGGACATCCACGGAGGCCAGGGGAGAGGGAAGGATTCATTTCATGGAAGTTGGAAGCAAGACAGAAATTGGAGCCAGGCAAAGCATGGCGGTGCACACAGGGAAGCTGAGGCAGGAGGATCACTGAGTTTAAGGCAAGCCTGAACTATACCGGAAACCCCGCCATGAAAAAACTTGTACATAAGTGAACCTAGCAGCCCTGTTCCAATAACCGACAAGTGGCAATGCCCACATGTTCATGACGGGTGGATGGAGGAACAGGCTGTGGTCTGTCCGCCCTGGGGAATATTACCCAGCCATGAAAAGGAGAGCAGCACTGAGGCATGTTGAAATGTGGAGGGGCTGAGGGCAGGAAGCCAGGCAAAGAACTCCACGCACTGTATGGTCTCTAAATCCGGCCAAGCTGGAGGGGCAAGAAATAGACCTGTGACTGCCAGGGGCCGGCTGGTCCCTTTGCACTGGGGGTAATGGATACGCTACCTTTCAGAAAAATGGGGGCCGGGATGTAGCTCAGTGGCACCCCTCCTGCCTTGCAAGCACAAGGTCCTGAGTTGAATCCCCAGTACCGCAAAAAAAAAAAAAAAAAAAGGGAAAGAAAACTGAAGGGCTGTGTGTGCTGCACATCTGTGATCTCAGCACTCTGAAGGCAGAAGCAGGATTGTAAATTTGACCCCAGCCTGGGCAATTCAGTGAGATCCTCTCTCCACAAAAAAAAAAAAACAGGGGGGGGGCCCCAGCCGATAATCCCTGCACTTGGGAGGCTGAGGTAAGAGATGCAGTGAGGTCGAGGCCAGCCTGTGCTACACAGTGAGAATCTGTCTTAAAAAAATAGGGGCCGGGGCTGTAGCTCAGTGGTGCAGCCACCTGCCTTCCAAGGGCAAGGACCCAAGTTCGATCCCTGGTACCAATAAATGAGGTCTTGAGGTTGTGTCTCAGTGGTGATCACCCTGGGTTCAAATCCCAGTACTGCAGGGGGAAAAGAAAAATACAAGTCACTGCAGTGTACACGCAGAAGGGTTAATTTTATGTAATTGTCAGCTTTTTAAGAAATTAGCGTCCTCAGAGGCTGCAGCCTGCTCTCCTCCCTCAAGCCTGGGGCCGAAAGTGCCGACCTGTGGTTGGGGAAGTTGCCTGGAGAACTAAAAACAGAAGGATAGGTCACAGTTTCCTTCCGATGAGGGCTGAGGGGAGCTGGCACTTCCTAGCACACCGAGCGGTGTGCAGAGCCGCACACAGCCGGGCACATCTCTCAGGACGTCTTCCAGACAGGCCTCTGTGGCCCAGAGCCTCCTCCCCCCGGTGTCCCTACCCACATCCACGCACACCTGCTCAACAAACAAGCCAGAAGGCCGAGGCAAGAGGATTGCAAGTTTGAGCTCAGCCTGCTCAACTTAGCGAGACCATGTCTCAAAATAAAAACTGTAAAAAAGCCAGGGACCAGGCAGAGTGGCACAGTCTGTAATCCCAGCACTCGGGAGGCTGAGGCAGGAGGATCGCTGTGAGTTCAAGACCAGCCTGGGCTACATAGTTCCAGGTCAGTCTCAATGACATAGACCCTGTCTCAAAAAACAAAACAAAACAAAACAAAAGTCTGGAAAGGTAGCCAGTGCAAAGATCCTACATTCCATCCCAGCACAGGAAAACAAAAATGACAACAAAAACCAAGCCAAAATGTTCACAGCAGCTTCATTTACAATCCCAAGCTAGACACAGCCCAAAAGTTTATCAGCCATAGCAGGGATGAGTTGTGGGCCGTTCACTGTGGCAATCTCAGAGAGCCTCCTGCCTCAGCCTCCCCAGTACTGGGGTGACAAGGGTGCACCACCACGCCACATATAGCCCTCAGATTTATTTATTTATTTTTTGGTGCCAGGGATCAAACTCAGGACATTGTGCTTGCGAGGCACCACTGAGCTAAATCCCCAGCCCAGCCCTCAGATTTAAAATTGGAAAATTGAGGGCTGGGAATTTAGCTCAGTGGTGTCTCACCTGCCTCACAAGCACAATGTCCTGAGTTTGATCCCCGGTACCAAGAAATGAATAAATAAATAATTTAAAAAGAAGGGCCAGGGATTTAGCTCAGTGGTTCTGCCACCTGCCTCACAAATGCAAGGACTCAAGTTCAATTCCCAGTCCCTAAAAAATAAAAAAATAAAATTGGAAAAGCTAAAGTTTTAACTCTGAAAAAAAGTGTATTGTTGAGAAATGAGAAAGCAAAAACAGCACTATTCACCTTCTCTAGTTGATGTTCAAAAGCAGAAAAATAGCCCAGTCCAGAGGCCCACGCCTGTAATCCCAACTTCTCAGAAAGCTGAGGCAGGAGGATCACAAGTTCCAGGAAAGCCTGGGTAACTGAGTGACGCACTGTCTTGAAGTAAAATGTAATAAAGGCCAAGCATAGTGGCTCAAGCTTGTAATATTTGCACTCAGGAAGCTGAAGCAGGAAGATCACCATGAGTTCAACGCCAGTGTGGGCTACATAGTGAATTCAAGGACAGCCTGAACTACACAAGACTCTGTCTCCAAAAAAAAAAAAAAGTTTTGTTTTTTTTTTTCAAAATGGATTTTTGTTTGTTTGTTTGTTTTGTTTTTTGAGACAGGGTCTCACTATGTAGTTGAGACTGACCTGGAACTCACTATGTAGCCCAGGCTGGTCTCGAACTCACAGTGATCTGAGTGCTGGGATTACAGGTATGAGCCACTATGCCCGACTCAAAACAGTTTTTTAAAAAAAGGTCTGGGGAGGTAGCTTAATGATAGAGGGCTTGACTAGTGTGCACAAGGCCCTGAATTCCAACCCCATCATGGCAAAAACAAACGTGAAGTCCTGAGGCAGGAACTTGTCTGCGGCCACTAGGGGGGCAGACACTGTCATTGTTAGGAGCCAGAAGAGGGGTTCAGATTAAATCGCTCCAGCCTTGAACCAAGGTGAACTCTGGATAAAATAGAAACACCTGGCCAGACGTGGTGGCGAACGCCTGTAATCCCAGCACTTGGGAGGCTGAGGCAGGAGGACCCATGAGTTCAAAACAAAGACAGAGAGAGCTACCCAGAGCTAAATCTCCAGCCCGAAAAGTGAGATTTTGCAGAAGAGAACCAAATGGGCCGGGGATTTAGCTCAGTGGTTCCACTGCCTGCCTCATAAGCGCAAGGGCACAAGCTCAACCCCCAATACCAAAAATAAATTAATTAATAAAATAAAATTCAAACCCAGCCTAGGCAATTTAGACTTAAGGAGACCCTTTCTCAAAAAAGGAAAAAAGAGGATTGAGGATACGGTTTATATAAAGACCCTGGGTTAGGGCTGGGGATTTAGCTCAGTGGTTCGGTGGCCTGCCTTGCAAGCGCAAGGACCCAAGTTCAATCCCCGTACCAAAAAAAAAGAAAAAAAAAAGCCTGGGTTCACCACCCAGTGCTAGGGGGAAAAGAGAAACCCAGCTAAGTCTTAAAAAAATGAACTGAAATTTGAGCCACAAATTTCATAGGAGAAACCAGAATAGTTTGGGGAGTTTTTTTTTTTTTTTTTTTGAGACAATCTCACTTTGTAGTCCAGACTGGCCTTGATCTCAGTGTGTGAGTTCAGTGGCCTCAAACCTGCAATGATCCTCCTGCCTCAGCCTCCTGAGGTTGGCAAGAAACTACACTTGGCAAGAAACAAAATTTATGAGGTTGCAGGCAGTTTGAGTTCAAGCTAAAGGTTTGCTTAGAAAAAAAAGTCACTATTCAGCTGGATGTGGTAGCATAGTAGGCCTGTAATCCCCATACTGGGCAGGCTGAGGCAGGAGGATTACAAGTTCAGGCCAACCTGGGCTACATAGCAAGTTTGAACCCAGTTTAATACTGAGACCCTGCCTCTATAGTGAGGCGAACAAGCCACTCAGGACTCTCAGGCTGCAGGGTTTCTGTGGGTACCCAAGATACAATCTAGAATTGTGGGCTGGAGGGGTGGGTGATGCCCTGTAATCCCAGGTACTCCAAAGGCTGAGGCAGGAGGGTTATTGGAGCCCAGTTGTTCCTCACTGGTGATCCCAGCACTGCACTCAAGGAGGCTGAGGCAGGAGGATTTTAAGTCTGAGCCCCTCCTCGGCAATTTAACAAGACGCTGTCTCAAAATTTTAAAAAAAAGGGGACGGGGACATAGCTCAGTGCCAAGACCCTGGGTTCAACCTCCCAGTAATGCGCGCACGTGCGCCATTTCCGCTGGAAACCACACATCGCCCAGACGGCCACGGCCCGGCACTCCGAAGCCCTGTCCGATGGCCACGGGATGGGAGACTCAGAGCCATAAACCCATCCCTTCTCTGCACACTGATCCTTCCGGTTCACAGTCTGCCTCTGTGCGATGTCTGTCACCTTCCCCAAGAGACAAAGGGGCAGGACCTGTGGGACTTGAATTGTGAAAAGGTTTTTTGGGTGTTTTTTTGTTTTGTTTGTTTTTGAGATAGGATCTCCCTATGTAGCCCAGGCTGGCCTTGAACTCAGGGAGAACCTTCCGCCTCAGCCTCCTGAGTGCTGAGATCACAGGTGCATGTGCCACCACACCCAGCTACAGTCCACCCCTCCTATTTCCTCTCTTCCCTCCATCCCTCACTCTGCTGCACCATCCTGGCCTCCTGCTGATGTTGCCCCACACCAGGTCCACCCCTGCCCCAGGACCCTTGAACCGGCTGCTCCTGTGGGCTGGAATGCTCCCCTCTGTGCTCCACAAGGTGGGCGGCCCCAGACATCACAGCCCTCACTACCCCTCCCTGCACTGTAGCTTTGTCTTCCACTCATCAGGCAGGATTTTCTGCTGATGGATCCCTACCCTCGCTGACCACCTGGCTTCCTGTTTGTACGCTGGTCGTCAAGGCTGGGTTTCTTCTTTGTGCCCAAGAACATCCTCACTTCTGTCCCATCTCCTGCCCACCTCTGAGGCTTGTCCCCTCCTATCTCAGTCCCCCAACACCCTGCATGCTCCTCCTTCAGTCACAGCCCCCACTCCCTCCCAGGGCATGGTGGTACACACTTGGGATGCTGAGGCAGGAGGGTCTCCAGAGTTTGAGGCCAGCCGGGGCTACACAACGAGGTTTTGTCTCAAAACAACAAAAAGATACACACCAAGGCCCCAGCGCTGGATTTTACTGTTGCCCCAGCAGAGGGGAGGCTTCCTGGGAAAGATGTGAGGCCCAGGGAGAGAATTTTTGGGGTCTGTGTGAGGGTGGCTCAGACTTGGGGTTTGGTCAGTGGGGCTCCCGGCGGCTGAGTCGGGGTGATAGTCCCACTCTGCCCCGGAGGCCCTGCTGGTGGGAACAGTGTCACCCACACTGGGGGCTCCCAGGGGCCCAGGGTGGGTAGGGCAGGGCCAGGGGTCCGGAAGAGGCTGAGTCAGGAGGGTCCCTGAGAGCCGGGCCAGGAGCTGCATCCGCTCCCTCACCCTGGGGCTCAGAGCTCATCGTGGTGTCGTGTCAGATCCTCGCCGTAGTTGGTGGCCTGGCTGCCCACGAACATGTTCCAGTTCCCCAGGATCTCAGCCTTGCTCAGGCGCCCGTCCTGCGGGACCATGGGGAAGGTGAGGCCGTCAGCTGTGACCTGCGAGGACCCCCAGGGCCCCGCCCCTCCCGGGCCCCCTCCCCCCACCTTGTCCTGGTCGCTCTCACGCAGGAGGTGGTTCGCCTCCACCAGCGGCTGGTCTTGCGACGGTGGCAGCACCCAGTAGCCGACCTCGCTGCCGTCCAGCCGCCCGTCCTTGTTGAGGTCGCGGAAGTCCCGGAACTGCTGCCGCTCGGTCTGCACCCAGGCTGGCTCCTCCTCCCCCGGCTCCGCAGAGTACAGGTCCGCTATGGGGACAGCAGGGACACACGGGTCAGGAGCAGCTTGGGGGCTCCGACACCGCTTGACCCATGACCTTGGGCAACTGGCTTCCCTTCTCTTCTCTTCTTTTCTGGTACCGGGGCTCGAACTCGGGACCTTGTGCTTGCCAGGCAGGCGGTGGCACCACTGAGCTAAATCCCCAGCCCTTTTCTTCTTCTTCTTCTTTTTTTTTGACAGGGTCTCTCTGTGTAGCCCAGGCTGGCCTCAAACTCACAGAGATCCTCCTGCCTCAGCCTCATCCGTGCTGGGAGTACAGACGGGGGCCAACGCACCTGGCTTCACTTTTCCCCTCTCATCTTAGTTTCTCCTTCTGTTTAAATTGAATAAGGAATAAAACCTGACTTGAAGGGATTCTTAGGGTTCCTGTGCAATGCACTGGTGGACGGACGGGCATGTGACAAGGGTGTGTGGGGTGGCACAGGGCAGCCTGTGAGGAAGGAGGACCGTGTGGACACGCGGTGGCCCAGGAAGGAAGAGGAAGCGCTGAAAACCTCCCCTCGGGCCAGCCCTATACCTCTGCCTCCTTACCGATGTACTCCTCCACCTGCACGTAGCCGTCCTTGTCCTTGTCCAGGTCCTCCAGGGTCTCCTGGGGAGAGAGTGTCAGGTGGGTTTGGTGCACTGGCGCTGAGGGAGGCTTGTTTTTTGTCTGTTTTAGTCTTGTTAATAGTCAAGGCTGGCGCCTATAATCCCAGCACTCGGGAGGCTGAGGCAGGAGGATCGCTGTGAGTTTGAGTCCAGCCTGGGCTACATAGTGAGTTCCAGGTCAGTCTCAACTACACAGTGAGACCCTGTCTCAAAAAGCCAAAAAAAAAAAAAGTCAAGGTTGGCCTTGAACTCATGGCGATGCTCCTGTCTCAGCCTCTTAAATGGCAGGATTACAGGTGTGCACCGCCACATCCTGATGAATAAGACGCTTCTGTGCCCCAGTTCTACAGTCAGATTCATTTAGTATAAAATGGTGCGTGAATCTGACACTGCCATGACGTCTCTACCTTGAGCAGACTCAAGTTCCAACTTTTTGGTTTTTTGGTTTTTTTTGAACTGGAGGTTCACTGTCACTTAGGCTGGTCCCCAACCCAGGCCCAGTTGATCCTCCGGCCTCAGCCTCCCAAGTAGCTGAGACTACAGTTGTGTGCCATCACATGGCAAGTCCCAAATTTCAGACTGGATAGAAACCAGAATGATGACATTTAAAATTTTAATTAATTAGTTTATTAATTTTGTGGTACTGGGGATTGAATCCAGGGCCTTCACACAGAGCTACATCCCTAGTGATCCTCCTGCCTCAGCCTCCTGAGTGCTGGGATTACAGGTGTGTGCCACCATACCCGGCTATGGCCTTAAACCTTTGACCCTCCTGCTTCAGCCTCCCAAAGAGGTAAGATTACAGGTGCGTACCATCATACTAGGCTATATTTGAATTTTACATGACAACAATAATTCTTTGCTATCAGTATATTGCACTCAATATTTGACACATCCGTGCAGCATGAGTTATAGGTGCATTTCAGATAAAGAAATCGTTTTGCGCTATAAGCAGGCCCCAAGTGCTGTGAGAGATACACTGATACCAGGATGAATACTGAATGGGTGACTACAGAATTCACTGTTGGAGCTGGACATGGTGGCACGCGCCTGTAATCCCAGTACTTGGGAGGCTGAGGCAGGAGGATCACCAGGAGTTCCAGGCCAGCCTGGGCTTTACAGTGAGCTCAAGATCAGCCTGAACTACACAGAGAAACCTTGTCTCAAAAAAAATAAGTATTAATTGTTTATATTATGTGTTGTTAAAAATCCAACTGCTGGGCCAGGCGCGGTGGCACACACTGTAGCAGCAGCTGTGCCCTGCCAGGGGCCTTGTTAAACAAAGGACAGTGGCCAAGGGATACGATGCAGCCCGGGAAAGGGACGCCCTCTCCTGTGTGCCTGTTAGGCAGAGCTGGCCAGTTAGGCTCAGGGCCAGTGCCCTGGGGCACTTGGCAAGGGAAGCAGATGTGGTGATTTCTTCCTTCCTTTTCTTAATCATTAGCTGTAGATAAGACTCACAGAGCCGGGTGTGATAGCGCACACCTGTAATCCCAGCACTGGGGAGGCTGAGGCAGGAGGATTGCTGTGAGTTCGAGACCAGCCTTGGTCAACTACATGGTGAGACCCTGTCTCAAAAAAAAAAAAAAAAAAAAAAA